GTCTCTTGAGCTTGGGTGGAACCAGGGACTCTGACAACATCCATTCTCAGAAGATGGAGGTGAGGAGACCACCTGCTGCCTTCAGGCAACATTCGTGCAGGGCATGCTCTTTGCCTGGGGCCCCATCTCCTCCTTCTCATTTAATCCTCCTACAGGCTGTGACATGGGCTTCACTAGGCTCATTTGATGGCTGAAGAAAGTGGCTCAGAGAGGTGCAACCCTCTGCCCAGAGTGACACAGCTAGTATGTAGCAGAGCTGGCATCTCAATCTCAATCTGCTTCAGAATCAATGTTTTTCCCACAACACACATGTCTTTCTAATAGTGTCTTGCCTTAATATTCAGTTATCTGGTCCAGTTTCACTTTATAGCTAACCTGCTTGGTGACCACTGATAAGTCGCTGAATTCTTCAGACACCCAGAGATGATAACCTAACTGCTTAAGTTTGAGCGACTGGGAGCAAATCTGCATTTCTTGAGGTCTGGGCTAGTGCTGTTTGAGTTATCAGATAAAGGTTGAAGCCTATCCCATGAAGACATGTCCTTACCCGCTCCTGATTAGATCATAAGTCAAAGGCATAAAGTCACTGGGATGTGGTGACGCCACACAGGTGTCCACAAATAAGGCCAAGGAGGTGCTGGAATGGAGGATTTCAGCCTGAATGTACAAATTCTGGTTCAAGTCCACATAGTATGGGCTGCTGACCACAGGATATAAGAATGAAGGGGACGTATAAAAGGACACGTTCAAGTCAAAATTCCCATACTGCACGTTTTTGACCTCGATGGTGTCATTAGCAATGTACACTGTGTTCACCCAGGTGTTCTGCAGCATCTTGCAGCTGACACGGATGTGGAGGTCCTTCTTCCTCTTGATGACGCCACTTGAAACAGCCGCTCTGAGGAAGTTGGAATAGGTGATGGTGTCATTGTCCACCTGGAAGAGGCAGGCAGGAGAGCAGTCAGGCAAATGTCCCGACTAAGGGCATCTCATTGCTGGTTTTGCGCAGAATGAGAAGGAAGTGATGAAACAAGATTTCATAACCCTCCTGGAACCACAAGAGATGGCGCATGACTATCGCCATGGTTATCGTTACCCGGGACAGATACGCTTAACCAGCAAGACTCCTTCCTTCACACATCCCCTTTCCTCTACCATGTGATGGGGACCACAGTGTGAGCCAGGCGTTGGCGCCTCTGGGAGCTGCTGATCAGGGAAAAATGGGCGAGTCTAGATGAGCCCTACCCCTGCTGTACACCTAAGTTGAGTCTGGACTCCATGGCTCAGGGCCCTTCTGGCTGGTTCTGTTTCATTCGCACTGTTGCTGGGAGAAATCAGGGGAGGCGGTCATGTGGGAGAGGCTGGTGGGATCAGTTTTCACTGCGCTGTTTGGATGGGTCAGTAGCTATTGCAGCTTGGTGTCCGAAGCTGCCGGAGCCAGAAGCGACAGAGACCCAGTTAAAGCTGGGGTGGGTCTCTGACCTCTGGGTAGGAGCCTCCCCAGAGGCTCATATGGACCAACGGGTGAGCCATGGCAACGCTGGAGCACTTCCTGTCACATTTTGCTTTTTCACTCCCCAAACCTCAGGACCATTTCCTATTGTGCCTTTCACCAAGGACAGCTAACTCCTAAGAATGTTGGTCTCTCATGCCATTTGATAGATCTGCTTGTAAGAGCAACCTTTCCAGAGACATAAGCCTTGCACCTGGTGGTATGTGAGCATCTCAAGGAAAGGGTATGTGTAAGCGTCTCTCTTTTCCCAGGGCTTGGTGTACTGTTTACAGTAGCATCAGTGGCATCAATTCATGTCCAGAGAATGGAGGAAGGTCCAGGGGACAAGAGCCCAGCAAAAGTCCTGTGAGGAATGAAGGGTGGAGCCGGAAGCAGCCAGCCCAAATGGCCAAGAGGACACAGGCAAACAGGTGCCCCTGGAAACCCCATGGTCATGACCATCTGGCCTCAGGTGAGCCAAGCACAAGAGCGGCATCACCAGGTGGACATTGGGGGACTCTTCCCTCCCCAACGCTACGATGGTCAGACAAACTTCTGCCAGCCAGCTATGAGTTCCCACCATACCTGGGTGCCTTTGCAAGAACAAACACAAAATAACACAGACGGGATGGTCAGATGTCAGAAGCTCTTGGCTGCACATCTAGAACCTGCAGGATGGGCACCGTTGGTGTCCTCACTCCACTG